TGTCGACCTTTTGTAAATATCTTACAGTAGTATTATCATTTAAATTAAATATAGCCAGTTAGTCAGTGTTTGTCAGTTGAACCAGTTGTACATACCATATGTAATTCTATCTCTCCACAATTGTTATACTTTGATGGTCTATTATTATTATTAAAAAGAAAAAATATAATTTAATGGAATTGGACTCCGTGATTTTACATTATGACTAATATTATTTATTATTTGCTATGACACTGACTGACAAGAAGCTTATGAATATTTCAACTTCGAATTTGTAAATTATTGTCACATAATGAATATCAAGAAATTTTGTTCCATTAGCCATCTAACCTTTTATCGAGCAATTTCGGTACCTTTGGTTTATGTTCATTCATTGACGTGGTTTTACTATTGAATTTTATTCAGTGTCTTTGAAGTAGTGTAACAATTTTATATGTAGCATATATCTGAAGAGGGTCTAACATAAAGACCGAAACATGTAATATTTTGCAATGGAATTTATGTAATGTTATTTAATGTAATATAATAGAGTTCTGATTATTTTCTAAAATTGTGCGTTGATATTGACTCTTACATCCCTTGTTTCATATTTAATTTTTATTGTTATTAAGAGTTCTTTACGAATATTAATTATTATGATTTAAATAGTAAAGTATAATTATAATTTTAAGTATTAAAATATTCATACTGTACTTAAATTTTAATAACAATAATAAAAGTAGAATATATCGAACATTATTGTTACGTCCTGAGCGCGAGTTTTCGGCGGTCTCGAGACGCGACACGAGTTCGCGGGAACGCGAGCGCGGAGCGGGGCGCGCGGGGTGAAGCCTTGACTTCGACGTGGTGTTTAGACGCGTATCTTTGTTATTTTTATGGGCAGCTGTCACCAGTGCTCGGAATTGAGCACGATATTCGAGAATTATATATATGATTCTATGAATTTACTAGAGTTTAAACTTTAAGGTAATTAGCCTTCCAGGTCCTTCTGATAAGAATAAAATAGAGAGTTTAGAGGAAGCGTCAGTTAGGCTTCAACTCGCTGTCTCTCTATCTACACTCTCTGGCGTGATGAGAAGGAGTTGAAAGGGAATAAAAGGCTTTTAATAATGATAGAAATACTTAAGATTGTAAGATTTTAATATTAAGAGTACACACTGTGTTGCTAATAACGCGAGGCTTGTTGGTAATGACCAGAGGTCTTGTAGGCTTGCG